TTGGCCTCTTCTCTACATGCCACCCCATGTGCTTTTGTTTTCTTTCAAAATTCTATCATATTTGTATAACTTCCTCCAAGAAGTCTAGAAAGGCAGCCCTTTCCCGGGGTTCCACATACATCTTATTCTGTGACGACCAAATTTCTTCTTTAAATCAAACCCTTCCCAGGGGTTCCACATACACCTTATTCTGTGACGACCATATTTCCACTACTTGTTGACATTGCTCCTGCTCGTGTTCTTTGACATCCTGAACTTGAGTATGTGCCAGGCCCGCCCTGTAATTTTTCATTCTTACTGTATTGCCTTCTCACATAACCCTATGAATTGTTTTTTCCCCATAAATACATGGAAACTTAGAAGAGGTGAAATTCTCTGCGATTCTGTGGCCAGTCAGTTTGTACATGGAGGCTGTCGTCCCTATCCAGCACGCCACGACCTCGTCCTTCCTTCATGGCACTTGTGGCACCGAGCCCCATGTCACAGTGAAGCTTCCCTCCTTCTGTTGTAAAAATCTAAGCTTTGCTTTCCATTGAAGCAACAAGACATGGTGTCTCCTTCATCCTTCTGTTCCTCGGAACTCTGATTCTGCCACTGTGAGTTTAGCAGGAATGTTCATGTATGGTCAGATCATGCCTGTGTGTTCTCATGTTTGTCTGTGTATTGGATGGATTGCACCTGGCTGGCTGGGGAAGTGTGCTGCGCAGTAATATTTCCCTTGGAATAAGGAATTTGGGATATGGCATCTTCATTCCAAGCATCTCAACTTTATTGTAATTCCGCCGGTCTCTCTCTCTCTCTCTCTTCTCTAATATAACCTTTCCTGAATCTGAAAAACAATAAATTTTCCTTTCATATCCAAGTTAAAGACAAATATGGGGAATTAATGTATATTTGGACTGATTTTTAAAATAGATGAGATCGGGCATTCAGGGTGATATGGCTGTAGATGCTACTTGTCTTCCTGTTCTGCATATTATGACACTTGAAATTTGTTAAAAGGGCAAGGTATCTTTACTGTAATTTAATGTTATTGGTGACTTTTCTGTGACTATAAGTATTTTTATAATGCATGTTATATTTTGTTTTGATTTTTATACATTTTAGAAGTTTATGTCCCTTTCTTTTCTTTTTTTGAGACAGAGTCTCACTCTGTTGCCCAGGCTAGAGTGCCTTGGTGTCAGTCTAGCTTAAACTCAAATTTCTGGGTTTAAGTGATCCCCCTGCCTCAGCCTTCCAAGTAGCTGGGACAACAGGTATCCACCACCATGCCCAGCTAATTTTCTTTTTTTAAATATATATATATAATATATATATATTTATTTATTTTTACATGTACGTGTGATTATTAGGTTTCCACTTTTTGCCTTCACAGAATTAAAAAGGCTTACTTAAAATTTAACAACAATAACAATGTTTAAGATAAGGACTAGAAACAGAAACCTCGTAAAGAATGAATGAAGATAAATACATTCAGAAAAGAAATTAGACGATTGCTATGATGAAGTATTGAGCAATAATAATAGTAATGAAAAGAAAGTAAAATTCACATTGTCAAATAAGAGAATGATTATTATTGAATGCTTTGACTCTGAGGTTCAGTAGAGAGTCATCAATTAACTTCTTATTATTTTTTTCTGAAGTCTCAAGAAGCAGACAAATTATAAATAAAAATAAAAGATAATTTCAAAAAACAGATCATGCCAAATCTTATAGACAATAGAAAAAGAAGAAATATTTCAAAATCATTCTGCTTAATCTGGATATACCTGCTATTAAAATTGGAAAAAATATATTGTTATAAAGGGGAATTACAAACATAATTCACTTTTAAATGAGGGTGCAATATCCTATATCCTAAACAGCATATTAGGTTGAAGTAAAAATTAATGCTTAAGTGATGTACTTTAGTCAAAATCGAATCCAATTTATGTGAGAATTAGTCACTATTTTCTTTTTTTTATAGTCCTTATCCTCACCCCCTCCCTCCTTCTCCATCTGCTCTCCCCTTCCCCCATGCCCCACTATGTCATTAATTGTCATTAATTGTCCTAATATCAAAGTTGAATACACAGGATTCATACTTCTCCATTCCTGTGATGCTTCACTAAGGACAATGTGTTCCACCTCCATCCAGGTTAGTACATATGCTGCAAAATCTCCATTTTTTTAATAGCTGAATAATATTCCATGGTATACACATACCACAGCTTGCCAATCCGTTCCTGGGTTGAAGGGCATTTAGGCTGTTTCCACATCTAGTGATTGTGAATTGAGCTGCAATAAATAGCCTAGTGCAAGTATTTTCTATTTTTAGTAGGCAGAGAGTCTAGCTTTTGCTCAGGCTGGTCTCAAACTCCTGAGCTCAAGTCATGGTCCTGCCTCAGCCTCCCAGAGTGCTGGATTACAGGCATGAGCCACTGCACCCAGCTCATTTGAAAATTTTTTGTTTTGTTCCTGAGATCCCAAGGTAGGAGGTAGCTCAGGTTTTGCTTTCAGGGTGAATTGGTGACCCTGGCTCATGCTTCTTATGCCTCTGCTCTCATGCTTCTTTTGATTTTAGTAAATGTTTGTCCCCCAATTCCCAGCTCCTAAAATCTTATAATTCATTGTTTAAAAGTTGACCACCAAGTTCATTTATGAAGAACGAATTGAAATCATAGAGTCTAGCTGTTTTGGGCACAAATTTAATAATCTCTCAACCCACAGAGTGTGAAATTCTTTACTCAGAGATGAATAGCGTGCTCAGAGAAGAATTTGCAGTAAACCTCAAGACCTTTCTAACTCTAGAATTATGCAGAACCTGGAACTATATTCTAGTGACAAGTGCTCTCTACTGCTTCGTAATCTCGTGATGTACCGATACTGTCCTCAGCACAGCCTGCCTTTTGGGAGATATCCTTATATATGCACCTGTGTCCTCCAGTACTAAACTTTTGGAGGCAGGAGCTGCCTGACTGATCTCCTTATCCCCAGGGGCCCCTCACAGGGTGTCTAAAGCATAGGAACTCAGCTGTGCTCGCAA